GAGTTCTAGGTAGACCTAGGCTAGCCGCAGTGATGAAAAATAAGCACTAACCATGGATGTTGAAATATGTTTACATGTTACTTTTGTGAAAACGAATTAAAACTAAAATACTCTGGGCATATTTATCCCTAAAATAAAAGCCACCACAGTCAAAAGGATAGCAAACTTTGGTGACGACAAACTTTCTAGGAGATATTGGCGATGCACTGCAGAACGTGAGTTGGGGATCGTCTTTCACTTTCACTAAAATCAACGGAGAATACAGACAGAACAGCTACATGTGTGTAAGGAATTAACTTATAAGTTCCGTTTTTTTTTAAATTAGTGTAATTTAGTGAAAAGTAGCAGTACGTTTTTGTTGAATTGAGTTTGAAAAGTAAATGCAAGTCGGCAATTTTCTCGCCGGCGACGGGTGCCTAGACACCGGCATTTACGCCGGCACTGCCGAATGCCGACGTTAATTTTGAGGGCTGCATATATATAGAATAGTATAGAAGAAACTAGTATTATTTATTTGTTTAATGTACAGGATTAGAAATTCTTTTGAAGAGAGGAAACTGTGCTTCAATCAAATGATATTAGAGTTTTAATTATATAATAATTTGAATGATAATGATTTTAATTTTAGTTTTTAAGTGCTTTACAATAATTATTTTTGATATTTCTGTAACATCTTTGGTTGCCAGACATATGGGCATTGCCCTCTTTTGAGAAATCCTATCAGGTACTGCTTAGTCAGTTTGTATTTTTGCATTTTTATGTTTGTTTTTGTAAATTTGAAATGGTAAAATAAATTATATATGATATGATATATATTAAGCAAGTTAATTTACCGTTATTCTAGTAAACTTAAGTCACTTAACTTAAGATAAAAATCATAATAGATATGCTTTTGAATTTTAAAAATGAATAACTTATGTTAGAAGTTACAACATGGTTTTTTTATTTAATTCTGCTAGTCTTCTTATGAACTATTCACAACTAATGAGCTTCACTGTTAATCTTGTTACAAAATTCCCTGAAGCAGTAATTAATAGAAATAAGAAGAGATCGGCAAAACCTGGTTCAAAAATTGAAAAATTAGTAAATGGTGAAGTTCCCTCATGTTCTGTTTGTTTCATTTGAATGCACCAATATTTCACATATGCCACTGTTATAAAAGTGTATGTTCAAATAAATTATCTTTATTATTATTGTTATAAAAGAAGTAGTGCTGATTTAAACAGGAATAAACTGCAATGTCATCGTGTAAATTACATAATTTCAAGGGATTTAATGGTGTAAAATTAAACATTTGCATGATATATAATAAAACTATTAAATTTTCAGTATCACAGAACTTTAGTTCACTTTGTGTTTTACTCACTGACATAAGGAAATAAACAGGAAAAATAAAGATTTAGCACTGTATGCTACAGTGCATGTTTTAAAAGGAAGTTGGATATGGAATACACAATGTCTATTCTTGCAATATTTACACAGCCTTTCAAATTATGTCTGTATGGAAGAATACTGATACATAGTATTGTTGAACAGCTTTAAGAAATACTCAGTCTTCATTTGATGGGATTTAATGGTGTATGTAAAGGTAAGTATATAATGAGAACTGTTTATTATTACTTTTACGGTGGCAGTTGAGACTGAAAAAAAAATTGCACAAAATGATTAGCAAATGGAAGAAAATGATTAAACATAAATTGGTGTCTGCAAATGTACTTCTTTCATTAAATGAAGCTATTATTTAATCCCTCTAATTCGAATTAATCAAATGGCAAATATCTAACTATCTGTAGGTGTTGTATGAAATAATAATAATTGTAAAATGTAAAACAAATTATGCAGTAACAGGGCTCCCAAGTCTTCCGGAACATGCGGGATTGTCCTGGAAATCGGCAAGCAAGAATCTCCTGGAAAAAGCCCATATCCCTCAAATTCATATATTTGCATGTTTTCACTGTTTTATTATCAATCGTCAGTGTCGATGGGTATCACAATGTACAGCAAAATAATTTTAAATGTTAAAAAATCCCAGTGACGAATTCAAGATTGAAGATCCCCTCACCACCAAATTTTTCAAAATTATTTTTAAAATGGAGAAAATGCCATTTCTGGCCATCTAGACGCGCCATAATAATAAATTTTGTTACCTCATCCCCAACCAACCTTAGGTTGTATAGACCCTACATCTGTGAAAGCCCTTCTCCATTCCCCCACTCCCTTTCTCTTTTGAAATGTTGGATCTGTCACAGATCTCCCAGAATAAAGGGATTTGGTGATGATTGTTTATACAGACGGGCACATGACCTAACTTGGGTATACATGAAAAATTGACAGTGCGATAGCATAAGAAAAGGTAATGGTTGCAAAAAAAACCACCCACTGTTAACGTGAAAAGTACATGTAAATGGCTAGGAAAGGCAATACGATTGTTCAAAACAGTGTTGTTAGGCAGCAGGTTTTTGCTTTCTCGTTTATATTAAGGATCCCATAATCAAAATGTCCGGAAAAAAAAGGAATTTTAATACTTTTTTAATCTCCTATTTCTTTCAGATAATTGGTGTTCATTATCAAAAAAGGAGATGGAATTGTGTACTATGTGGGTCATCATATATATGTCCTTCTTACACTTGGCATTGTCATACAATGTAATACTTTATCCAAAATCAATCATTACTAGTGTTGGTAATATTGCAGTCAATTTTACCTGTACAATACAGTTGGAAACCAATGAAACAACTGTTGCACATTTGATAATATGGTGGAAGGACAACACCCGTATTGTAGAAAATGATGATGTATTGACAAGTTCTACCAAGTATAGTGTTTATGGCATATCATCTGCTGCAATGACTGAATATACACAAATTTTGCAAGTTAATAGTATTCAAGAAGCTGACCATGGTATGTACACATGCACTTTGGTTTTCACATCATATCCACCTGGAAATACACAACTGTCTTTGTCATCACATGCTCCAATTATAATACGTGACTTCATTTCTCAGCCTCGCTGTTCCGCCATTTCAAGTAATCATGAAACTGGACAGCAACAGGTAATACTGTTATGTGCATGTTCTCCAAGTTATCCTTTCATGACACTGCACTGGATTAATAATATGGGTGGTTTCTTGACATCAGCATCTCAGGTGCAATTTAACGAACTGTTGACATTAATACATATAGTTTCTAATGTGTCTGAATCAAGCAACCAGTTGTTCATGTGTAGAGCCACCAGTAAAGGAACCACGGACACAAAAGAATGTGTAATTAGTAATCTGATTTCAACCACTAGTATCGCAGTCACTCAAAAGTCATCAGAACCATTTGATGAAAGATCAACTGTAATCCCTACTAAAACAACCCACAAGGACAAATCTTTTTCACCATTTATCTCAAAAACTTTATCAGATACCCAAAATGTTACAGATCAAATGAGAACAGATCCTACAGCAAATGTGACTCAAGAAATGTTAATATTTTCAGATGACAAAAAAACTACTACAATTGCCATTATTGCAGTAGCTGGTGTAATCTTTATAACAGTTTTTATAATATTAGTAGTTTTAAAAAAGCATTTAAAAACAATAAAATATGAAGAAAGTGAATCTCCAGAAGAAGGAATTGACATCAAAAATGGAAATCAGCTTACAAGTATTGAGTTTGGAGATGGTCAGTTATATGATCAGTCCTTTGTGTATAAAAATTCTGTGTTTGAAATAGATATGAATGATCCTGTCAACTTGTATGCATCTATTGACCAGAAAAATGTTGAGAGAAGTCCGAAACATGTGGACATGGATGACAAAAAGAAAGCTAATATTTATCCTTTAGAATATAATGGATATAAACAAGAATCTTTACCACCAATGAAGGCAGAAAAACATATTAAGGTAACTTTAACAGTAACTTAAATATTTGTACTTGGATAAATTAGTTTACATTCAACAATTAGATTTCAATGTGGCCAATATCCACGGCAGAATGCAATGTTTAGTGGGGCTACGACATTGCTATTACTCACTAATAATACTACTAAATTTGTGTTCCAAATGAATAGTACAGAAAAGTTCACATTAGTCACAATCACTAATGAAAATTGTTAAATATATTATCCATACTTAACTACTATTTATTTAATATTATTTATTCTATAAATATTTGATAGTTTCCATCTGCTTTGCTTACTATAGGTGTAGAACAAAGTAAGTAAACATCCATTACGTTTGGTTTAAAAATTACGGATTAAATCAGTTCTACAGCTATTATTTATTCTATGATACTATCAAGCTTGACACTAAAACTGACTCCCAATGAATTGGGGAACCTACAAAAAGTTTAATTTCAGACTGGATTATGACATCACATACTCACTGGCACTTACACCAGTACAAATGCATGTGTGAGCTTGAGAGAAGCTCAAAAGCACGAGTCTCATGCCCAATGCATAAGATGTAGGTTAGAATACCATAGCATGAAAACACTAATGATGTACATTATCTAATTTTCAGACTAATGACAAGAGTGAAGCTTTGACATCACTATCACAAGATAAGGGCCCCAATACAAATGGTGATTTTCATCTTATTGAAGAAAATGATTTGTACAGTATACGTGTGCACATAAAGTGACAATAACTCAAAGAAACACAGTAAGAGCATGTATAGGCTTCATAGCTTATAATTTCTTTACATACCATAATTTTATTTACAATTTTAGAAAATAAGCACTTTTTAGAAAAACACGACGAAATTGATGTATGTCATCAGGCATGAGTATTTTCCAGTTAATAATAAGAATCTGAATGTAGTTGTTTTTTTATTGGTAAATTTATAGTTTGTGATTTCTTCTCAGTCCATTTTGATCGTTTTCTCTTGTTTTTTTTATCCTATTCTGTAATTACTACATGACTAAAGCTCATTCTGCCATATCTCAGAGCCACGATGGGAAGTGCGAGACTATCTGCTTTGTTACTACTTAGTATTGAGCGTGGTGAAGCAGACAACATTGCTAACTTTGATCACGTGATTAACTATTTGCTGATGCAAAAGTACGCAAAATCCAGTTGCAAGTTTAAACAATGTTAAAAATTCAGCAACTTACAAGACTACTATAAGATAAATTTAGAGAATAAGAATACTAAGCTGTATGCGATAAATACAATAGTCTTACAAATTAGGATAATGGTAAAGTTGTATACAAAGTTCCACACATCGTAATGCAGTTTCAAAAGTAAGAAACCGGTTGTGGCGCCCCCTCGGGCAAATCCTGGTGCCACCCCTGGTATGATATGGACGTACGGTACGGATATGCTTAAAGTCTATACAACCAAGATCAATTTATTTCAAAATATTATAATTATAATTGAGGGGAAGGGGGAGCAAATTTCTACTCTTGCCCCCGGGTGCCAAAACCTCTAGCTATGCCACTAGAACAATGTCCACTAAAATTAGGACTTACAAATGGAGGTCCTTTGTACACTTCTAATCTTTGTGAACATTAAAGAATCAGTCTGAAAAGTACAATATTACCGTCCATGTACTCTAATTTACAAAAATAAAAGAAATGAAATGATTATCAAATCTAATGGGTGGCATGGCTTTTACTATGAAACTTTGTCAGAGGATGGTGAGAAAAAAATATAAAAATAAAATTTAGGTTTCTCAAACACCAAAATGGAGCAAATAAAAAAATAATATTTCATTGCCAAATAGAGGGCACTGTCTATGCCTTTACTCATGATGTTATACAATAGTAATTTCCGTAAAGAATGCAATGATGGCAATCAAACAATTCAGTAATCGTATGGATAAATGTCTATTATATTGAGAAAGATATAAAGATTTCTTTTTCTTAGATTGGGTGATGGCATGTGTAAAAAAATAGGGAAAAAAGAAAATATTTCCTGTTTATTTGCAGTGATGGGCATAACCAGCCAAAAATGTTATATTTTTGTTCTAAATCATCATTTTCAGCGGGTAGTGGGCTTGTGAAAAAAAAAGGTATCGAATGTCGTTTCTATTATTGAGGTTGTATTCAGAAAAATAGATACAATAATAAAATAAATAAGGAACTATTTAAAGAAAAAATGCATTTTATTATTTAGTTATTTGATGTTCTGTTTGTAATACTGTACAAAAACTAAAAGCAAATCTGTAAATATAGATCATTAACTAGTGACGTGTGTAAGCATCTAGGAGTCAAAGTAGATGAAAATCTTTTATGAAAGAATCAAATCGAAGTGAAGAAGTGTGACTATACAGCTATTGCTTTCCTCAAAACATTTTGAAAATATTACAAATGTTACTATAATTTTCACTTACGCTAATGTAATGAAATCTGGGGAAAATGTAGTTCAACTTCCACAAAAAAGACACAGACGCTACAGAATAGAACTGCCAAATTGTGTGTAGTTTTCAATGGGACACACCAAGCAATGCGATATTACAAAAGGTAAATTTATATTCTTTTTTAGATCAAAATAAGGGAGCAGTTTTTGCTTTTGTTATGTGCAGTAACTCCGCAAAACACCGCTCATTTCATCAATCAGGATCATTTCCAACTGTTGTTAATTGAAGCGTTAATTCTCTAATGACAGGTTAATAAATATTTTAACTCACTGATGAATATGTAATGACTAAAGCGAAGGTTTGTCTGCCGCATTACCTCCGAAATTCTATTGTGGGGTCAAACACTTATGTCTAGTTAGCATTATTTGATTTACCAATAAAACAAAATATAAGGCAATTGCAACCCGATCATTGTGTTAGACCTGGTATTTACAGTACATTAAAGTATGAATGTTGTATGCTTATTCATAAAGTAATTTAAAAGGATGCTCCACTACATTCACATAAATTCTTTACATACCATAATTTTATTTACAATTTTAGACATAGCGATACCAATCTGTTAATTCCTCTACCACATAATGACTATAAAATACAAAATTTGTCATATCCAGGTGCAATCATATGGAATATTGAATCAGTAAATGAAATCAAATTATTAAGTATAACCATTTAAAGAAATTTAAAATGGGAAGCACATGTCGGTAATAATAATAGTTAATGCTAGCCGTAAATTGCATTCAATCTTAAAGAAAAATAGAGCCCCTATCAGGTATCTTCTTGATGTTTAAATTTCTTACTTTAGACCCTCGATAAAATATTCGTGTACGGTATGACATAGTTCACTAACTGTCAAGCAAACAAAATTAATAGAACGAGTGCAAAAAAGAGTACTAAGGATTGTTTTTCGTTACGATCTAACTTATGAGGAATTGCTTGAGGGCGCTGGGCTCCCGCCGCTTGTGGAGAGGAGGAAGAAACTCTTACTGTTGTTCAGTAAAAAGCTGTTGGTATCTGAATCTTTCAGAGATATGGTTCCTCCTTGCCGCAAGCCTGGAAGAGTCTGGCAGTTTCAGCGTACTTTATATGAACCCATAACTTAGCAGAGGAAACAATCTGGAATCCCAACTTTTGTAAGAATGCTTAATGAACATCATTAATTCAGGTATATTCATTAAGCATTCTTACAACTAAAGTAATAATAATAATGAAAAATTTTGGCAATTAAATTAAATATTAAATTGTTATGTTGCAATCTTCAATCCATGGATACTCTTGTAGGAATGCCTAATGAACATTATTAATTGAGGTAAATTCATTTAGCATTCTTATAACTGTATTAATAGTAATTATGATAACATTTTGACAATTAAATTAAACTCATTCAGATGGTTTGATGGGATTGGTATAATATTCATTTTACTTTTTATTGGTAATGATTTGTTTTCTACGTTTTTGTGCCATTTTGATGTTCAAAATCTACATTTTTATAATTATTTGTGATAGATTTTGCATGTAAATACAGTGATGTTGCAATCTGCAATTCCCACACATGTAAGAATACTTAATGAACATTATTAATTGAGGTATATACATTAAGCATTCTTACAACTTAAATTTAATAATACTAATGATAAATTTTGGCAATTAAATTAAATTAAATTGATTCAGATGGTTTAATGGGCTTTGTATAACTATAATTTTACTTTTTATTGGTGTAAATTTTTTTGATCTGTGTGCCTTTTTAATGGTCAATAATTTACTTTTTAATTTTTTAACTTTTTAATTAATTTTTTTTTTGTAATATTTTGTAATTGATTTTTTATGCTTCTCTTCTCATTGCTTGCTTCTCTCTATAGCTATAATCAGAACCATTGCTAATCAAGTCATTTGTATTACCAGACATTCTGTAATCTCAATGATTAAAGTTAAAATAAATTTGCATACATAGGACCAGTATAGAAGAAACTAGTATTATTTATTTGTTTAATTACAAGATTAGAAATTCTTTTGAAGAGAGGAAACTGTGCTTCAATCAAATGATGTTAAAGTTTTAATCATATAATAATTTTAATGATAATGATTTTAATTTTAGTTTTTAAGTGCTTTACAAATAATTATATTTGATATTTCTGTAACATCTGTTTTCTTTGGTTGTTATTTTTGGTGGTGGTGTTTGCGCTTTAAAAATAATTATTATTAATATTATTATTAATATTGCCAGACAGATGGGCATTGCCCTCTTTTGAGAAATCCTATCAGGTACTGCTGAGTCAGTTTGTATTTTTGCATTTTTATGTTTGTTTTTGTAAATTTGAAATGGTAAAATAAATGATATATGATATGATATAAACAACCATCTGGATATAAAAAAGAATATACACTTGTAAAATTATATTTTGACGCAGTCTTTGATTGTAGGATAACGAACCTTTCCCACTAGAAGGCCCTAGCATACCCTGCAATTTACCCTACGGTCTGCCTCTGTATTCTACTAATAACCTTTACATTGTTTATACTTAATGAAATCGATGAAATATTACAGAAAACAAGAGCAATAAAGATTTGGTAGCTCTTAGTATAATGCAAATTCTAAAAAAAAGCTGACACAAATTGTAGTGAAAAAAACCCTAGTCGGGGAGAAAAAAACACCATAAATTTGTCGAGGACAAAAAAAACTATGTATTTTCTACATATTAGTAGATGCTCTATAAAATTGATTAAAGTATGCCCTTGAAATCTCTAAATTGTCATATTTTTTAGGGGCTTCTCCCCCCACCCCCACCGGGACAACTTTTGAACAATTTTGAACAACCCCTGCCCATGCCTACTGAGCTCTCATTGGGCATATCCTGGTGCCACCCATTGAAAACACAATGTTGGTTCTTGCATTTCAAGCTATTGAAGAATTACTGTTATATAAAACATCTTGGTTTTTTTTATCAATTACTTAAAATGTATTGTCTAGTTATATTAAATTTTCTGCTGTTTGTTTCATTTTTGTCATATTTGACATGTTCCACTGCTATAAAGTCTATGTTCAAATAAATTATTATTATTATTATTATTGTTATAAAAGAAGTAGTGCTGGTTTAAACAGGAATAAATTGCAACATCATCATGTAAATTACATAATTTGAAGGGATTTAATGGTGTAAGATTAAACATTTGCATAATATATTTAATAGAACTGTTAAATTCTCAGCATCACAGAACTTTAGTTCACTTTGTGTTTTACTCACTGACATTAGGAAATAAACAGGAAAAATAAAGGTTTGGCACTTTATGCTACAGTGCATGTTTTAAAAGGAAGTTGGATATGGAATACACAATGTCTATTCTTGCAATATTTGCACAACCTTTCAACTTATGTCTACATGAAGAATACTGATACATAGTATTGTTGAACACAGACATGTTGGTTGTTCATAAAAATGTTACTGGCTTTAATTAAGAAATGCTCAGTCTTCATTTGATGGGATTTAATGGTGTATTGTAAAGGTAAGTATATAATGAGAACTTTTTATTATTACTTTTACAGTGGCAGTTGAGACTGCAAAAATTGCACAAAATAATTGGGAAATGGAAGTAAATGATTAAACATAAATTGGAGTCTGCAAATGTACTTCTTTCATTAATGAAGCTAAAATTTAATCCCTCTTATTCAAATTAATCAAATAGCATAAATCTAAATATCTGTAGATGTTGTATAAAATAACAATAAGCCTTTTCGCAGCCTGAAACAGAAGTACGCGGTCAAACGTTACTGGAGATAAACATACGCTGACACACGCGATACGATGTGTTTTGTTTTAGTGAATTGAAGATTATCTCAACTTTATTTGTCTTGTGAGATTCACAAATACATTAAAAACATCATTTAATATGGATGGTAGTACTTGTGGAAAGTTCCTGCATTAAAAGACTATTTGCGATTGAGGGGACTGAAAACTTCGGGAAGAAAAAATGAACTTCAGGCCCTTGTGTATAGTGCTGCCAGCTTAACTATGCGGTCAAACCGGATAAGTGCCAAAGAAAGATCATGATGTCTTCAATATTCTGAACTACTATACGTAGATGGTAAAAAACTACCGGACCAACTTCATGAATTAAAAGATGGGTGGGTAAGTGAAAAGGTAGGGGTGATTTTTTGGCCCCCTGTAACCTATTTTGAGATAGGAGATTGGCTGCTAAATGAGGCACCTTGTGTTAGTGAACCGACCAAGAGGAAACTGAAAACACCTTCACTTAAAAATAGACTCTTATTGGACTACAAAGAAGGAAAAGCATATAACTATTTTGATAGTAAATGGCTTCATGAAATATTTTATCATAATATTTCGGATGACAGCAATATCTGCTTTGTTAAGGCACAATGTACACCATCACAGGCAATTAAGAATACATCACATTCTGTATGGGTTGCTCTGGAAAAAAAGACGGGGAAAATATGCAGTGCATATTGTAGCTGTTTTGCAGGGTGAGTGTAAATACAATATTCTTGTTAGGTTATTATTTCTATATTTAAAAAAAAAAATCATATAAATTATATTTGTGAATTAACTATGTAAAATTAAAGTTAGATTTGTAAATATTTGAATTTAAATGACTGTGTAATCAATATTTCTTTTTAGACTTGGTTCTTCATGTAACCATGTTGCAGCCGTGATCTTCAAGCTGGATCATGCTTTTATGACTGGTGTTTCCAAGAACCAAGTACCATGCACATCAAAAACTTGCAGTTGGAATGTCTACAGAGGGGCAAAAAGGATGAAAATAATTGAAGGGAAACCAGTGTCTGACATGCAATGGGCAAAGCCAAACTATTATAAACAGGGTATGGGCTTTTTTATTCTACAAAATAAAAAATTTACAAAAACATAAAAACAACAGTACAATATAAATTGACCTTGCATGTATCTTGTGTAAATCGTGATTAACCTACAGTACAGTGTTTCACAAGCAACTTGTTTCGGACAAGGCATTATACTGTTGTTATACTGTAGTACATATGTAAAACTTAAACATCAGTACATTGAAACATGTAAATTATTATAAACAGGCAACCTGATGTTGCTGATGATATTTAACGAAATAAGCCTGTTTTAACAAATTATATTTTTTCTTTTTTTTTTTTTCAATATAGGAAATCAGCAGCCAATTAATACAGAATCACGAAAGCTTTTTAACCCAATGAAGAATTCAAGACAAATGCCTACAGCGCAGGGGATAGTTGATGCTCTTTTTCCCAGCTGCAGCAATTCAACTATATGGAAATATTTGTCCACAACAGCCATGAATTATAACCCTCAGGAGGATTTTAATGTAGGAATTGAAGTGGAGGTAGAAACATCGCATGACATAGCAGTTCCAAAGAGTCTACAACTACTTGCAGCCAATTTTCAGTCACCTGAAAATTTTATCAATGACTTGCCCACATACTCTCATAAGAAATTATAGCCATTGAAAAAGTAACTTGGGAACAATCAGAGAATGTTGAATGGGCAAAATATAGAACTGGATGTATTACTGCTTCCAATTTGAAATCTGTGGTTACTAGAAATAAGACTCTCCATAGTAATACACATAAGTAAAGATCCCATCCCGATTTTTACAAAAATTATGGGATATACCCCCATTGACCCAACCTACCAAATCTTAAATATGGGAGGATTACTGAACCAATAGCACGATCATTGTATGAAAAAATTTTGAAAGGAAAAGGACATGTGAATATTGAAGTCTCAGAATGTGGGTTGTTTGTACATCCAAAAAAGATATTTATGGGGGCTTCCCCAGATGCATTAGTAGAATGTTCTTGTTGTGGAAATGGATTACTGGAAATATAGTGTCCATGTACAATAGCACTTGATCAACCCACGGAAGAAAACATGGAGGCATTGTATGTAACTATACAAATGAAAAACTTGAACTTAAACCAAATCATCAATACTATTATCAAATTCAAGCACAAAAGGGCATAACTAAAAGAAACTGGTGCGATTTTTTTTATATATACCAAGGGGGGATACTTTTTGCAGCGTATTGAATACAACCACGAGGTGTGGACTAGGGCAATGTCTGAAGCTGAACAATTTATTTTTGAGTTCATTGCCCCAGAGTTAATTTACAATGCAATAAAGAAATCTACAATTAGCCATGAAATATAATTATTTTATTAGTTTCATAACCACTAGTTATTTCAAAATTATTTACTGTATGCTGCCAACTGAATATAAATTTTAAATATGTACATATTTATTTACAGTAAATAATAACAGGAAACATTTTGACCAGTGTAGTAATTGTAATAAAAAGAGAAAATTGACAATATTCGCTCCACAATTTTCATTTATTTGAAGAGAAACTTTCCTTTATTTTATTTACACATTCCTAATTACAATTCAGTTACTTTCATTCAAGAAATTAGATCTGGTTGCAAATTGCATAGAGCAGCACACACAGTTATTATGTCATCAGATACTGGGATGAGAGTAATTGGTAATGTAGAGTTCAAGATTTGGAAGTCCTTCAATCAGTTTAATTGCTCTCTCTACATGGATCCTTAAGTTAGAAATCATCTTTGTCTTTTTAACTTTAACTGAATGGTGGAAGGCAATCGCAACATCCACTTCCATTTTTATTTCCATGTTTAGTGCTGTCAAGTTGTTTCCACTTGTCTAGGTGATATGAGCTGTTGCTGCACACAACTTCATAATTGATGATTAAATCATCAGTCTAAAACAAAACAAGTACAGTATGCATTAAAATATTTATAAATCATAATGAATTGCAAAATAATTCTTTTTTTTAATAACTGTATTTACCAAGGAACTGTTTAAAATGTATATCATTATCATTAATATATCCATTACTAATATTAAAAATGGTTTTTAATTGAATGCCATTTTACTGACTTTCAATTAAAAAATAAACTTTGCCTATCAATGAATACAAAAAAAATATACTACAAATGACTAGTAGTTATTATTTTGCAGCTACGCCAGACCGTGGTCGCCGAGCTTCATGCTCATACTTAGCTACATAGGAGGCACAGTCCTCCCGTCGCGTACCTCCTGTCGCGTACCACCGTGCAGTTTGTGGAAAGAACTCGACTTTTGTAGGCCTAGATCAAACAACCTTATTTGCAATGAAATTAAATATTTCAGTCAAATCTACTATGTGTATGAAAAAAAATATATATATTTACCACTTATATGTTACTGTTTGAAAATCTAGAAATGATATATACAAAATTTAAGGTAAGAAAGTTCGATACTTTGAAAATTTGTCTGCAAGACTAGCATGGTTGTTTATCTCCAGAAACTTTTTTGTCTTTAATCTGAAGCATGCGCAGTCAGAATTGCGAAAAGGCTTATTGTAAAATGTAAAACAAATTATGCAGTAACAGGACTCCCAAATCTTCCGGAACTCGAGGGATTGTCTTGGAAATCGGGACAGTCTCCCGCACTCCCACAAGCAAGCAAGAATCTCCCGGAATAAAGCCATATTCCGCAAATTCATATATTTGCATGCTTTCAATGTTTTATTATAAATTGTCAGAGTCGATAAGTATCAAAATGTTGAGCAAAATAATTTTAAATGTTAAAAAAACTCAGTGACGAATTCAAGAGTGAAGCTCCCCACCCCCAAATTTGTATTAAAATTATTTTTAAAAATTGAGATAAAAAAAAATCATATTCAAATTTTAGTCTGAAAATGCCATTTCAGGCCATCTAGAGGTGCCATAAAAATAAATTTTGTTACCCCATACCCAACCAACCTGAGGTGGTATAGACCCTACATCTGTGAAAGCCACTCTCCCCTCTCAAACCCCCTTTCTATTTTGAAATTTTGGATCTGTCACTGCAGATCTCCCAGAATATAGGGATTTGGCGATGATTGTTTACAGGCAGTCACGTGACCTAACTTAGGTATACATGAAAAAATTTACAGTGCGATAGCCTAGGAAAAGATAATGTTATGGTTGCGAAAACCACCACCCTCTGTTAACGTCAGAAGTAAATGGCTAGAAAAGGCAATACAATTGTTCAAAATAGTGATTTACATATCCTAGCATTCTCCTTGGATTGTATGCTTTGAAATTAAGTGATCCTTCATAAACATACAGCTGGCCATATCATCACAGCATAGTTCGGAGGTCGAAGACCATCATGCATTCCTAACCAAGCCGTAGATGTGCAGGGGCCTAGGCTTAACATTTCCCAAAAAATCTCAATTAAGGCAAAATTCTTAATTTTAATTTAAAATCAATTTTGTATAGTTTACTTGGAATTATGATGATCTTTACAGCAATAACAAGGGGCGACCGCCATATCAATCTCCATGTAAAACACTGCGCTGCCATTCGACTGTTTATATCTGACACCCAAGTTACTGTAGGTCACATGACACCCATAGCCAAATCCCTCCACTTCTAACTTGGGACCCCTGTAGTACATACATTTTGAATATTGGTACTAGTCTATCAATTAAGGCATGAGAGCACATGTAATAATATAATAATATTAATATTAATAATAATAATAGGTAGATTTATAAGGGGCAAATAAACTCAGTCTCTAAGCACCTGTCAAACCTTTCGTGTGATACATATTTCAACTAAAAAAATTTAACCACCTGAGTTATTGCTTTGAGTATTAAATATAAGAACTCAAAATATAATACAATCTAATTAAATTTATAAAACAAACATTAAAATTAACTGAGGTTAGGTAGTAGGTTTTTGCTTTCTCGTTTGCTATAATTAAAATATCCAAAACAAAAAAGGGATTTTAACACTTTTTTAATCTCTTAGTTCTTTCAGATAGGTGTTCATTATCAAAAAAAGAGATGGAATTGTGTACTATGTGGGTCATCATATATATGTCCTTCTTACATTTGGCATTGTCATTCAATGTAATACTTTATCCGGACTCAATCATTACTAATGTTGGCAATAATGCTGTCAATTTTACCTGTACAATACAGTTGGATACCAATGAAAAAACTGTTGAACATTGGATAATATGGTGGAAGGGCAACACCCCTATTGTAGACAATGATAATGTATTGACAAGTTCTACCAAGTATAGTGTTTATGGCATATCATCTGCTGCAATGACGGAATATACACAAATATTGCAAGTTAATAGTATTGAAGAAGCTGACCATGGTATGTACTCATGCACTTTGGTTTTCGCACCATATCCACCTGAAAATACACAACCATCTTTGTCATCACATGCTCCAATTATAATACGTGACTTCATTTCTCAGCCTAGCTGTTCCGCCACACCAAGTAAACATGAAACTGGACAGCAACAGGTACTGTTATGTGCATGTTCTCCAAGTGATCCTCCGATGACACTGCAGTGGATTAATAATATGGGTGGTTCCTTGACATCAGAATCTCAGGTGCAATTTAATGAACTGTTGACATCACATACAGTTTCCATTGTGTCTGAATCAAGCAACCAGATGTTCACATGTAGAGCCACCATTGTAGGATCCACGGACACAAAAGAATGTGTAATTAGTAATCCAATTTCAACCACTAGTATCGCAGTCACTCAAAAGCCATCAGAACCATTTGATGAGAAATCAACTCTAATCCCTACTAAAACAACACACAAGGACAAATCTCTTTCACCATTTATCTCAAAAATTTTATCAGATACCCAAAATGTTACAGAGCAAATGAGAACATATCCTACAGCAAACGTGACTCAAGAAATGTTAATATTTTCTGGTGACAAAAAAACTACTACAATTACCATTATTGTAGTAGCTGGTGTAATCTTTATAACAGTTTTTATAATATTAGTACTTCTAAAAAAGCGTTTAAATAAAAGAAAATATGAAGAAAGTGAATCGCCAGAAGAAGGAACTGACATCCATAATGGAAATCAGCTTACCAGTATTGAGGTAGGAGATGGTCAGTTAGATGACCAGTGTTATGCATATAAAAGTTCAGTGTTTGAAAGAGATAAGGATGAACCCGTTAAGTTTTATGCATCGTCTGATCCCAAAAATGTTGAGAAAAGTCACAAACCTGTGGCCATGGACAATAATAAGAAAACCAATAGAGCCAATGGAGGCAATGGTATTTATCCTTTAGAATATAATGGATATAAAAAAGAATCTATATCACCGAATATGGCAGAAGAACCTAGTAAATTTAAGGTAAGTGTTTGGCTAGGAGGAACTTTTTTTTTTTTTTATAAGAACACATTTGATAAGAACACTGAGGCTGAAATTGCTTAAAAATTAAGAACAAAATAAGAACAAATTGAGGCTGAGGTAAAATTTCAAATGAGGTTTATATTTTTAAGAACCAAAATATTATATCTGTACATTATATGCAGTAAGTGTGACTCTAATACCCTCTATAATACAGTACAGTAGGTGAGTACCTATCTGACATTTGGGGGCCATTTTTTGTGGGGTCACTTTCACCTACATTCCAGTACAGTGCATACTGCCGTACAATTAAATAATTTTTTATTTAAAAATTGTGTAAACCAAGAACAAAATAAGAACATTTTGAGCCTGAAATCGGCCAAAAAATAAGAACACTGAGCCTGGGCAAAATTTTACTGGTTCTTATAAAAAAAAGTGTATTGTTCCTGTGCTGAAGACCCCAAGTGAATGCTTGCTAATCCTTGAATAAACCCTCAAAATGACAGCTAAACATGTTATGGACAATGTCTGTATCTGTATGTGCATGTTATATACAGTATATGTTGAAGTTCAGTTGGGTGGGGCTGCACTGCAGCTGCCGAGGGTCCCCACAGACCAGCCTCAATTTCCAATTTCCAATTTTAATGAGGACAAGTATAGAATTATTGGCTGGAAAAGCCATTGTTTTGCTTTGCTTTCTTTTTTACTTCCGTATCGTTTTTCCTGTCTTTTTGCACTGGGTTATTACACCTGGTACTTTCCATGCTTGGATCTTTAAAATACTTTGTTGAAACACAGACCATATAAAGGATGTGCCTCCTAATATTTAGTGTCAATCTATAGTGGAGTGGGATCCAGAGAGGATGTGGGACCAATTAAAGGGATAACGGGCAAACACTCTACACCAGATATCTAAAGAACATGGGTCAACTGATCTGAATGAAACTTTTGATAAGTTTAACCAAGTTACAAGGAACAAATGATTATGTTGTAGTGACAATCCAGATTAGGGTGTAAATTTAAGGGGTCATTCAAATTTCTGACATTCCAGACCTAAATATCACAAACAAATAATCAATGGGTCTAAATCTCAGTTTCGCCACCTGTGGGTCGCGACCCAAATTTTTATACTTTATTTTTTCTTTTGAAAATGGTTGTTGTTTTTGTTTTAATTTATTTTTCTTCTTACATCTCTTTTTTTTTTTTTTTTTAAGTTTTTCTGACCGGCACTGGTCATTTTCCAGGCTTGAATCTTCTTAATTGTCCAAGCAAAGAGCATATCAATGATGTGCATATCAAAATATGATATCATTCTACATATTTTGAATATTAATAGCAGTCATAGTTCCAAGTTTCCCTAACATGGAGTTGGTGTTCATGTGCTACTTTACGCTAGACTTTTTAAAGGAGTCTTTATTGTTTGTAATTTCAACATCAATTCTCATTATGGCAATGATTAAAAGCCCTATGTTCTGTTGTAGAAACATACATAGTAAATCTAGTTATTATTATTACCATTATTATCATTATTATTATTATTAAAAGTTGATAATTATTTTTATGTACTTTGTTATAACTGTGCATGAGGATGCATAAGATTTATTAAGTTTGGAATACCATAGCATGAAAATACTAACAATGTATATTATTAAATTTGCAGACTGATGACATGAAAGATGCGGTGACACTATTACAAAATGAGGACACAAATAGTGATGCTCTTCTTATGACAGAAAATTATATGTATGTGTCTGCAGATGAGGTGACAACTCAGAGAAACACAGTAAGACCAACAACTTACAATTTAGATTTTCTGATACATAAACAAGTGGTTAAGAGAAGCTTAAAACAAACAAAAAAAAGCATTTCTATTTCAATTTGTATGCTAAACAAAATGTTTCCATTCTATTCTACATCGGCTGATCATAAGTTGTTTATACCTCCACAACAGAGATACAGTATATTTTCATATTCTTGACAGCAATTTGACCTCTGAAAGGTGATTGTTTGTCAAAAAACAAGGGCCTAAGATGACTGAAAAGTGGAGTTTCCTTCTTTCGTTCTGCCGGGTAAAATTAATTATTTTAGGCGACGTTTGTAGACTAACCTACACGTACCAACGGCCGCATGTCGCGCTAGCCTTATCCTACTCTAGGCCTAGACTAGCTAAGATGGTATAGGCCTAGCCTTGAAGGGACGAAAGTCCCAATGAAAAACAACGTCGCTCCTTGATAGCTAACATTGTCTATTTAACATCACAATAATTCATTATTAGACCTATAGTTGTTTTTTGAATT